GCTAACTGATGTGATTTTTATTCAAAAATACAACACCAGGTAACAATGGAAGTTTGTTTGGATGGCATAAGTATAAAAGTAACATTGAACACTTTTTAGCAAATGCAGGAAGTGCATTATTTATTGTTTATTTCATAAAATTTATACACCACTCAAAGTTGCTTACAAAAGATAAAACAGTAAAATCACAAAAAAGATCACAACCATACTTTAAAACATACAAAAGTTAAAATGCTAAAAGAGATGAAAATTACACCAGCTTTCTGTGGATCTGAGTAAAGTAAAGGTAAAGGGACCCCTGATCATTAGGTCCAGTCGTGGCCGACTCTGGGGTTGTGGCGCTCATCTCGCTTTACTGGCCGAGGGAGCCGGTGTACAGCTTCTGGGTCATGTGGCAAACCAGAGCAGCACACGGAAATGCCGTTTACCTTTCCGCCGGAGCTGTACCTATTTATCTACTTGCACTTTGACGTGCTTTCGAACTGCTAGGTTGGCAGGAGCAGGGACCGAGCCACGGGAGCTCACCCCGTCGCGGGGATTCGAACCGCTGACCTTCTGATTAGCAAGTCCTAGGCTCTGTGGTTTAACCCACAGCGCCACCCACGTCCCTGTGGATCTGAGTAGGCTTGACTAAAAAGAATGTTTTCTGCAGGTGCCAAAAAGAGTTCAGTTAAGTCGCCTTATTGATATCAATAGGCAGGGAGTTCCAAAGTGTAGGTCTTATGTGGCACCATCGCCTCCTCCACTTGGATTTTAAGAAGAGAGACAAATCCAGATAGGTTTTATCTATCTATTACATTTCTGTCCTGCCCTTTCTCCCAAAGGAGTCCAGGAAGGACACCTACACCTGTGTGACACCTACAGTACCGTTCCTTGTTGAGGAGTTTCAGGAATTCCTCAAGTTTTAAGACATGCCTAATCTGGGAATTACTGAGACCAGCATCTTCTAACACTGAATCAGGGGAATCCCAGACCAAGTATCCCTATTTTCCAAGGACAGCCCCAAATTTACAGAAGCTGTCTCGGTTTCTGATTTGATGCTCGAATGTCCCGCTTTTCCTTAGAACATCCCTATTTTCATCGGAGAAACATTAGAGGGTATGGAAATATGTGATACCCACCCCAGCCAAGGAGATAATTAACTATACAAAATGTAGAAGACATCTGGAGGCAGCCCTGTATAGGGAAGTTTTTTTTAAGGTTTAATGTTTTATGTTTTTATATATGTTGGAAGCCGCCTAGAGTGGCTGAGGCAACCCAGTCTGATGAGCAGGGTATAAAATAATAATAATAATAATAATAATAGGGTGAAAATAGGGATGTCCTATTCAATTATTATTATTATTATTATTATTATTATTATTATTATTATTATTGAACAGGACATCCATACAGTCATACCTTGGAAGTCTAACAGAATCCATTCAACTTCCAAAACCAAAGTGTGGCTTCTGACTGGCTGCAGAAAGCTCCTGCAGCCAATCGGAAGCCGTGGAAGCCCTGTTCGGCTTCCAAAACTAGTTCACAAACCGGAACAGTCACTTCCGGGTTTGTGGCATTCGGGAGCCAAAACGTTTGAGAACTAAGCTGTTTGAAAACCAAGGTACGACTGTATTTTCGTTGGAGAAATGTTGGAGGGTATGGAATCTGTGGTCTCTGGTGAGTACTGGCTTACGGCAACAGTGTGGTCAGACCCCCAACACGTCCCCACACTGACCAGCATCCAGGTTAAAGCGGCCCTATTAGCCAGAACCTCCTGACTGCAATAAAGTGCAAAGATTACAATCGAATAGAGTGCCTTTGGCCCCATCTAATATTATTAGACTCATTGTGGAGTTACAGAGAGCAGTAAATTCTATTTCCCTCCCTATACACTGACATACTTGGATGGAGCGGCCCAGGGAAATGGCAGCCGGGTGTGATAGTTGGAGTGCCAGAGGGCACTGCGAAATGCCACTAGAGATAACTGTTACAGCTGGCATGCTGTTAACGACAAGCATTTTCTGTTCCTGGTATGGCCACAATGCGCTGCATTGCTATCAAAGGCAAGTGAATTGCTTCCTCTTAATGTTGCACCACCAAAAGCCAGAATGCTAAGCAATTATACCTGACACTTTCCCTTTTACTGCTCAACATTGCTGTGATCCTTATTTCCAGTTTCTCCACAGACTGGTCTAATTTGCCTTGTTTGGGGGTGTGGATCAATCCTTCTCTATGCTCTCCGCTTGTCTATAGATTGCTCGCATGTTGCATCTAAAGGAGGGCCTCGCCCAATGTGACCTGCAAAGTTTTGATGTTCTAGAACTGCCTGTCAAGTTAATGATCGCCGAGCTCACAAGCAAATAATGGCATGAAATGACTATCGCAGATGGTTTGTATTTTTAATATTTTTAAAAAACCTAATTTTATTTATTTTCAACTGCAGATCCTGTTGACCAGAATACAGTGGGACCTCAGGTTACATACGCTTCAGGTTACAGACTCCGCGAACTCAGAAATAGTGCTTCAGGTTAAGAACTTTGCTTCAGGATGAGAACAGAAATCGTGCTCCGGCGGTGCAGCGGCAGCAGGAGGCCCCATTAGCTAAAGTGGTGCTTCAGGTTAAGAACAGTTTCAGGTTAAGTACGGACCTCCGGAACGAATTAAGTACTTAACCTGAGGTACCACTGTAATGGTAATTTTTCAACACCGGCGTGCCAGTTTAAGGACGTGAGCTGCCATTTATCAAAACATGTCTCGGGCTGAAAAATGGGCAAGTGAATGCAGATGAAGAGTGGCTGATTTATGCCCCGTCAGATGGCTTGTGTTCTGCTATATCTCTAAGCACATCTTTGAAAGGAATCATGCTTTCTTTGTCAGGCTTTGATGAATAGAAAAATTTCGCCAGATATGTGAATGAACAATAGCAGGGATGAATGTACGGCACCCTGTCTATTGATCGCCATGGTTTTCCATTGATCCCTCTATTGCGCAGTAATATCAAAATAAAGATCAATACTTTTTTGGGGGGGGGAGAGCCGTCATAAAGTATGGGGCTGCTGTGTAGTACAGCTGAATACACTGTGGAGTTTAATCTAGTTACTAGTGAAATATAGCATTACATTTTCCAGTAAACCGAAACTATTCTAGAATAACATTTCCATGATCTGATCAGAAATAAACAAGTCAGTTCCCATGTTGCTTATTTCGACTGGTATCACATGGGAAATAAGAATGAGATTAGAAAGGTTTCTCATTAAGTTTCATATTGTTTCTTCCATGCCATAACAAAGTAAAACCAGTATGGCATAATGGCTAGAGTGTTGAACTAAGACATGCGAGAACAGGGTTTGAATCCCCATTCACCCATGAAGCTTGCTGGGTGACCTTGGGCTAGTCACCATTTCTTACCCTAACCTACCTCACAAGGTTGCTGTGAGACGGAAATGGGGAGGAGGAAAACCATGTGACCACCTTGAGCTCCTTGAAAGAAAAGCTGGTATATAAACGTAATAAATAAATAAAAATAAAATAAAATAAGGTTTGGTTTTCTGCTGAACAACAAACTGCATTGTTTTTACCAGATGCACTTCAGGTAATTTCTGCAGCTGAAAGGAAATCGCAACTGGTAACTTTCAGCACGGACACTGCTTGTTCCCTATATAATTAGAGCCACCTTCACATGGGACGTTGGGAAAATTGCATCCATGCAGAAAGTTGCCATTTGTTTCCACTGTCTGGCTAAATCAAGAAAATCATTTTCTATCTTTCCCAGGTGGATGTAAAGCAAAGCGAACATGAATCACTCGATAAAAAACATTCATTCCTGTCCTGGAATCAAGAGAAGGCAGTTCCTGAAGCATCACTTCACGCAAAATGAGGCTTCTCAAACTCCCCTTGAAAAGCAACTATCATTTTGTTTTCGAAATGCAGAGAGTCGGCCATTGTGTTTCTCCCTCCCAAAAGGCCTTGGTGTAGCCTGAAATGGTGGCTATGTTCTGTCTCCATTGTCTGAGGCAATATGCTGGGAACCACAAGGGCACTATTCAAGTCCCACTCAGTGGCAGCATAGCGGGGGGGGGGCGGTGGCACAGGGACGGTTGTCCTGGGTGCAAAATTGTTAGGGGTGCAAAATTTCAACAGTACAGCTGCCTCAGTACAGCTGTGTCCTTTTGTTGCTGGGCTCCATTGAAAACGGCTTCTTTAACTGAACCAGGAAGTGACCTCTCCAAACAACAGAGCAACCCATCTTTTCTTATCTCTGCGGCTCCTATCTCCTGGGTTACACGGATGCTGTTAGGCAGCTGAATACGCATGTGTACTCCGTCCATTTCCCTCCCACCCACCCACCCTCCACGCAGCCCCGGGCACTGGCAATCCACACAACACCACTGGTCCCATTTGCAGGTTTTCCACAGGAATCTTGTTGACTACAGTGAGAACAGGAGGACCATGTTCTGGGTGCGTGTTTGATCTGATCAATCGGGACTCCCTTACGTTCTTATGAAAACTGCAAAAACTGAACAGCATCCCAACAGAAAGTCTGCTTGTTGTTGTTGTTGTTGTTTAGTCATTTAGTCGTGTCCGACTCTTCAGGACCCCATGGACCAGAGCACGCCAGGCACTCCTGTCTTCCACTGCCTCCCGCAGTTTGGTCAAACTCATGCTGGTAGCTTCGAGAACACTGTCGAACTATCTTGTCCTCTGTCATCCCCTTCTCCTTGTACCCTCCATCTTTCCCAACATCAGAGTCTTTTCCAGGGAGTCTTCTCTTCTCATGAGGTGGCCAAAGTATTGGAGCCTCAGCTTCACGACCTGTCCTTCCAGAGCTGATTTCCTTCAGAATGGATAGGTTTGATCTTCTTGCAGTCCATGGGACTCTCAAGAGTCTCGTCCAGCACCATAATTCAAAAGCATCACCATCCAAATTCCATATTAAGACTGTGACTATGTGCAGACTCCTAACTAGGGCTTCAGTGTCAGCCAATTTTATCTTCACACACACACACACACACACTCTCTCTCTCTCTCTCTCTCTCACACACACACACACACACTTCCCACTCTGGCACCCAGCACCATGCCACTATGCCTACAAGCAAGGCACCAGGAGAACAGAAACACGGAGGTGTCACCTTACCTCCTGGGCAAAGTCTGGGCTTCTCGTTTTTGCATTTTCCTGGCATCTGGCTGCAGGCTCTCTCGCCCACCTCCTGTGGCAACAACCGCCTCTGGCTCTGCAACCTGCTCTTGGGGGTAATGCGGGTGTCAGTGTGGGGTAGGGGAGAAGTGCCCCTTCCCCACCTATGGTGGCTGCGGCATGGTTAGGGACTTTAGCTGTAAGACAGTCATAATGTGTTCTGATGGTACTCTCTATCCCTGGGTAGAAATAGGGCCAGGAACTGTGTTCCTGTAGTTTTCAGCTGCAGGTGGAGATAGCTCTGGGCTCTCACAAGCCATTAGGACCAAGGTGAGTATGAGGATGAAACTCCGTTGATGAACAGCAGTGGAAATGGGGCAACAGGCATTCCTCGGGTCTAGGACCATTTGCTGCAGAGGATGCGTTGCAAATTTTCTCCTGACAAAGTCAGTCTATATGCTTTGAACAGGGATATAAAGGCAGAAATTCAGCAGGGGCTGCATTTCCTGGAACAGAGAGACGATGGGGTGAAACTATAGATTTATTTGGCCATACAAAAATGCATGCTGTTAAAGACCTAGAACTTCAATGGACATCGCAGCTTGGTTTCTGCAATGTAGCAAAACATTTTTGTCTGGGATTTTGTATAACATGGAAGTTGGCAAGGAGATGAAATGGGAGAAACTGTGTGCCAGAACTCCAATATTTCCTCAACAGTAGGGAGGCGGGTAGCACTGTGGTCTAAACCACTGTGCCTCTTGGGCTTGCTGATCAGAAGGTCAGTAGTTCAAATCCCTGCAACGGAGTGAGCTTCTGTTGCTCAGTCCCAGCTCCTGCCAACCTAGCAGTTCGAAAGCACGCCAGTGCAAGCAGATAAGTACAAGTAGATAAAATAGATACCGTTGTGGCAGGAAGATAAACAGTGTTTCCGTGCGCTCTGGTTTCCATTATGGCGCCAGAAGCGATTTAGTCACGCTGGCCACATGACCCGCAAAGCTGTCTGTGGACAAACACCAGCTCCCTTGGCCTGAAAGTGAGATGAGCGCCACAACCCCATAGTCAACTTTGACTGGACTTAACTGTCCAGGGGTCTTTTACCTTTTTTTTTTAAAGGTAAAGGGACACCTGACCATTAGGTCCAGTCGCGGATGACTCTGGGGTTGTGGCGCTCATCTCGCTTTAATGGCCAAGGGAGCGGGTGTACAGCTTCCGGGTCATGTGGCCAGCATGACTAAGCTGCTTCTGGCAAACCAGAGCAGCGCACGGAAATGCCATTTGCCTTCCCGCCAGAGCGGTACCTATTTGTCTACTTGCACTTTTATGTGCTTTCGAACTGCTAGGTTGGCAGGAGCAGGGACCGAGCAACAGCTCACCCCATCACAGGGATTCGAACTGCCGACCTTCTGATTGGCAAGCCCTAGGTTCTGTGGTTTAACCCACAGTGCCACCCGTGTCCCTACCCTTTTTTTTACCTTTACATTATTTCCTCAACACTAGCCCTCCAAAGGTTTTGGACCACAGTTCCCATCAGCTCCAGCCAGCGCTGATAGTTTGTGTAGTCCAAACCTCTGGAGTGCAACAGACCAGTGAAACCCGAGCTACAAGATCCCTTATATAAATTCTGTCTTGATCCCAAGACATGGGCCAAGGAGTACCTCTGGAATCCTGTCGTGCTCGAGGAGGGAAGAGGTGGTGGTAGACTTGCTCCATGAATTGGGGGAGGGAGTGTGTGAAGAACGAGAAGTCAATCTGAGTGCGGAAAAACTCCTCCACCCGACGCAGGAACTCCAACAAGGTCTGAGCGTACGAACGCAGCTCTGGGGAAAACAAGTTAAGAGTGCTATAAGAGCAACACAAGAAGGAGAGCCCTGCAGCTGGATCAGGCGAAAGGTTCATCTGGTCCCATATTCTATTCTCAAAAGCCCCAAAGCAAGACCTGAGTCCCACAACAACTCTCCCCACTTCTGATTCTCAGCAACTGGTATTCAAGAGGTACAGTGGAACCTCGGGTTAAGTACTTAATTCGTTCCGGAGGTCCGTTTTTAACCTGAAACTGTTCTGAACCTGAAGCACGACTTTAGCTAATGGGGCCTCCTGCTGCTGCTGCGCCGCTGAAGCACGATTTCTGTTCTCATGCGGTAGCAAAGTTCTTAACCCGAGGTACTATTTCTCGGTTAGCGGAGTCTGTAAGCTGAAGCGTATGTAACCTGAAGCATATGTAACCCGGGTACCACTGTATACTGTCTCCAACAGTGAACAGTGGAGGGAGAAATGTTTGTCATGGCTAGTTGCCATTGGCAGCCTTCTCCTCAATTAATTTGCCTGTAAGACCCTAAGAGCAAGACTCCAATGAAAGTCTCCAATGCTGCCATCATGGGTCCCAATCGGTTCATTGGAGAGGTCAAGGAAAATGGCAGGATACCCAAGGACGTACTCTATGAGGAGCTGGGTTCAGGTCCCAGCCTAGTTGGCAGACCAACTCTGCATTACAGAGATGTCTGCAAACAGGACACAAAGGCTGGCAACTTCAACCCCGCTATGTGGGAATCCCTTGCAGACAACCACAGTGCCTGGAGAGAGTCAGTCAGGGGGTGCATCCACAGCAGTGACCAAAGGAGGAATGACTGCTGGGAAGAACGCATGGTGCACCCACATCAGCATAACCGGACACCTTCATCTGCTCCAGCTGCAAGAAAACTTGTCTCTCCCGTATCATTCTCTACAGCCACAGCAGGCGCTGTAACTCTCCAACAGTTTGACCCACAAAGGAGCACTCCTGAGACAGGTGGATGCCAACAACCAACAACACAGAGGTTGAATAGCCATCTGTTAGGAATTCTTTAGCTGCGACTCCTAAATTGCAGGGGGTTGGACTAGATGACCCTGGGAGTCCCTTCCAACTCTGCAATTCTATGATCTGATGCTTCCCTCTCAGAGCTACTAGCTGCTTGACAGGCGTGTGATTTTCACTGAGACCACAACCAAGGTGGGGATTAAAAGCCCCTTCCAACGTGCTTCACTCAGGAAACTGGCCACTCCCTGCTGTACCTATGTCTTTAAAAAAAAAGCCATAAAATGTGATAATCCATTTTTCATATCATCTATCATTTGTCCCTACGTGCCTCGAAGATGGGCTCGAGTTTTTCCATTACGCCCCTTTGGGGTATGCGCTTTCGTTTCTAAGAGACACTGAACAGATCACGCTTAATTCCTTACAGTCCAAAAAACTGTTATTTTACATGATTGAAAAGCTATTACTTTAAAAGAATCCGGTATGGAACTATTTTATTATCAGCTGCAAAATTTTAAAAAATAACCTGCAATTGGAAAAACTAATAACCTGTCCCTTATGTTTCTAAATGGGTTTTTTTTTGGGGGGGGGGAGCAGAATGGAATGTGGCATTCATGGTAAAATTAACATTATATAAAATCACAAGCAGGAAATCAAATAACTAATGAATTTCATACAGAATTGGTCAATTTTCATAATGTGCCTGCTTGATATAATGTCGTATGTGCTGTGCTCATTATTTCTTCATTTATAGTATACATGATTGGATATTACTGTGCTGAATTTGAGAGAGAGGGAGAATGGGAAGGACAAGGGCTCTGATGCTAGGAAGAATGTAAGGACAGCACTGCTGGATCAGGCCAAAGGCCCATCTTGTCTAGCATCCTGGTCTCACAGTGGCCAACCATAGAATCACAGAATTGTAGAGTTGGAAGGGAACAACGAGGGTCATCTAGTCCAACCCCCTACATTGCAGGAATCTTTTGTCCAATGTGGGGCTTGAACCCATGACCCTGAGATTAAGAGTCCCATTCCCTACCAACTGAGCTATCATGGGGCAGATGCTATCATTGCTACTAGTCACCAACAACCTAATCTCTCGTGAATTTATCCAATCCTCTTTTAAAGCCGTCCTGGTTGTCTTACAACCAGTCTTTGCAACGCACTCAAGAAGCCTTTTCTGTGTCTGAAGAACAGGGTAAAAGTGCTTTATACAAAATAAATAACTGCACATCAGCAGGAACTTCATAATGGACCTTTCAATCTCTCACTCAGTATGTCCCCGAGGTGAGAACCGGCTTTGTCAACAGGGCCCTGGGCTCCGTAAAAGACACTGGGATCAGATCTAAGCCTCTCCTCAAAACCAACAATGCTTTGGAGAAAAACAAGTGTTTACGTAGACCTGATTAAGCCAGGAATGCCACACAGAACAATCAGCCTCCAGCGCCCAGCCTGGGAAGGACAATGGCGCTGCAGAGATCCCTCAGCAAGACACCAAGAATCCAGTCTGTCTCACTTTGGGGGTGCTTTAAGCCTGGGAAAACAAGGCATCGAACGGAGCGCCAGAGTATATGGGAAAGAAACATAGCTTCCCAGGGACACACTTTTAGGCAAAGGAAGCATGATGTGCCCATCTCTCACGAGTGCTGCCTTGGGGGATAGAACGCTCAAAACCAACCGTGTGAAATTCTCAAAGCATTAGGTGAAGTTCAGCTCACAGATATGACCTCGTGAAGAATATGCAAGTCATGTGTTAGGTCACAATTATAGAGGGAAGGAGTGGGATCCTCTGAACTCCCCAAAGGCTTGATGTCTGCCTTCCTCCATGGACGCTGCGTAGGAGAAGGTAACTATCAAACCTCTGGGAAGTTTAGAGGCTTCCAGCCTTTTCCATCATAATCACAAGTTTGTTTCTGAGCTCAGTTTAAAGTGCTGGTTCTTTTAAAAGCCCTGAACAGTCTGGAAAAAAAATTATCTTAAGAACTGCCTCCATCCATGTGAAAATGCCCAACCTTTAAGATCATCTGCTGAGGATAATGCCTGCTTCCTCCCAGATCAGAAGAACAAGATGGGGGTGGATGGACAGAGCCTTTTCCGTAGTGGCACCTGGGCCATGAAATCCCCTACTCAGAGGAGGCTCACTTCTCCCCATCACAGCTCATCAGGCAGCTGAGACCTTCCCCCTACAAACACTCATTTATAGTTGCTTCCATTGAAAACAAGTTCCCAACAGCTGCTGTTTTTATATTGATTGTGTTCCTACTGATAGCCATTTTTATTGTGTCATTTTAGCTTTCTTTTAATCCATTTATAATTTTGGATTTGTTGTCTACGCTTCTCATTGGATTTGTCACCTTGAGAATAACTTCACAGGGAGGTGAGACAGAAATGTTGAAGGTAACTTTCCCTGTGTTCATGTGAGCAGACTCCAACCATATACTGGTTTGTGCAGTAATGGCGAGAATTCTCCCCACACCCCAATTCTCCCCACCTTGAAGAAAAGCCCACCCAAGTGGACTTATTTGCCCACATAAATGTTTACCAGACTCCCCAGGCACACCTGTATGGACCATTTGTCTCATTTCAGCAGAGTTCAGCAGAGAACTGTGCTTGTGTTTTTTTTTAATGTCCCTGCCTGATCCCCTGGAGAGAATTGTGATCGCCGCAGGCGACAAGGCAAATGATTCTTTACAAGCTGCAATAGCCTGGGTTCTCATGCTAAAGCTGCTCCCAGCCAGCCCTTGCCATGCCACTCACCGCATTGCTGCCTCTTGGCCTTGCACTTCTCATCTGCAGCATGGGCACAAGCCGCTGGACTAGCAGAGGGGGAGCAGGGCTGGGTGTAGAAGGCACACAGGTGTGAGAGCTCCACTCGCTGCCTATCGGGTGGCATCTGAGCCAATGCCAGCAGCTCGAAGCAGGTGGGCTCCCGGCTGGAGGGCGACTCTGTGCAGAGGATTAGCAAAGGGGAATTGTTGTCAGCACTGTCCATGTGCTCCGGCAGGGAGAGAGGGAGGGGCCTGACCAAGGGTCGGAAGGAACATGGATTTCCCAGCAGGGCTGACCTGACAGGCATCAAGCATGGGTAGGCAGCGCAGCTCACTCCAGGTGTCGCGGAACTCCAACTCCCATCAGCTCCAGCCAGTGTGGCCAAAGGTCAGGGGATGATGGAAGCTGCAGTCCAACAACATATGGAGAGCAACACACTGGGTGTTCCTGGCTTGTGAAGCACAAAGAGGTGCCAGAGCAAACACTGCACCCACCCTCAGTTTTGGAGTTATTCATTTGCTTGTTTCGTTTAGAGCATTTGTACTCCACTCCTTAGCCAAAAAGGCTCCCAGAGCAGCTTAAATACCATCAAAACAAGACAGTCCCTACCTGCAGGCTTACAATTTAAGGAAACACAACACACAAGGAGAAATGTACAGGGAGGGAAGAGGAAAAATCAAAACCCAGACACCAATTTCTAAATAGTTGTTCCTATATTGGCAGGCTGGCATAGTTCAGGGACAGAAGGTGCCTGAAGTGAAATTCACCAACGCCAGACCAATCATGAGGCCCACTGAGTGCCTCACATCTCGCAACTGTATTTTGGAGGTACGGTTCAGAGATGTGGCTAATTCAGGCTACAGCAACTCTTCCCCGTCTGGGTACCTCCTCCATCACGTCCCCTGAACCGCAAAGGTGTGACTGGCCCCAGTCAACCTCCCATTTGTTCTGCCCCCCGTGGAGGAGTTGGGAGCGACAATGCCAACATTAACACTCACTCTCCATCTGCTGGTGCACCCACTCTGTGAAGGCGGCGACTCGGGTGTACACCCCAGGCTTCCCACGCTCACCACAGCCGTCGCCCCAGGAGGTGATCCCGTATAGCACATACCGCTCTGACAAAGGGTCCCAGCAAGTGAGTGGTCCCCCAGAGTCACCCTGGAAGGAGAAACAGCTGTGGGTCCAAAATAGGGAAATGTGCAAGTCGAGGAATCCTGCCCCCCTGCCCTTGCTGGAAAAGACCATTCAGGGCCATTCAGCGCAGAACTCTGTAGCCTACAGTGGCCAGCTGGACTGGCAGGTCTGGTGCCGTGACGACCACACACCTCAGCAGCATCCTGTTCTCACAGTGGCCAACCAGATGCCTGTGGAGAAACACACATGCAGGATTCGAGCACAAGAGCAACTCTCCCCCTCCTGTGGTTTTGGAGGCAGGGATGCTTCTCAGTTGCAGCTGCTGGAAACTGCAGGAGGGGAGATGGTTTTTGTGCTTGAATCCTGCTTGCGGGCTTCCCACAGGAATCTGTTTGGCCACTCTGAGAACAAGATCTTGGACTAAATGCAACAGGAAGGCTCTTTGGATCTTCTTATGGGAAACAGGGAGGGAGGGCTCTTGCCTGTGGGCTTCCTGGAGAAATCTGATTGGCCACTGTGAGAACAGGAGGCGGGACTACATGACCCAGCAGGGTCTTCTTATGCTAGTTATGTGAGCATCATGGCACAATTGCCAGTCCAGCTGGCCGCTGTAGGATATGGCGTTTTCTCTCCCCTCCATGACTCTGACCGCTTCCTGCCACTATTGCCAGCTCCTCCTCCTCTGCCTCAGCACTGCTGCCGGACAGAACCAGTCAGCTGAGCATGGAGTCAGTGGCAGCTTCTCCCCATCGCTCTCTCCTCACCACTGCTGTTTTTTCCTTGCTTTCCCGCTCTGGGCCTGAGCGAGAGGCAGGTGAACAAGCAGGATGCAACCGTGAAGAGAAGCAGGACTATGGAGGTCCTTAGTGGAATCGTGGGCTCTCAGCAGATGCCCATCCCTGCCAAGCCCTGATGCCAAATTCTGTGCCAGCAGTGTGCTGGAAATGCCAGAAGGCTACCCCCCCCCCGGGCACTGCTCCACTGTCCCTCAGCTCTCCCTCCTCAGGGAGTCCCCTTACCTGGCAGGAGTCAATGCCCCCAGAGAGGAACCCAGCGCAGAACATGGCGCTGGTGAAGAGCTGGCGCCCCAGCGCACCACGGCAGATGTCTTGAGCTAGGATGGGAACCTGGGCTTCCATGACTACATCAGCTCCTGGACCATCTATGGGTCAAGCATATGACATTATGGAGGGGTCCCAATTTCCACCACCATCTCCCCACAAAATTGCCCACCTTGGCATGGCGATGGAAGCCCTTCCCATGTGGCAGCTGGATGAAGCCACAAGGGAGAGGCCAACCCTGCCAGTAGCCCCAGGCGTTCCTTTTTTTCTAGGACTCAGCTCCAGATTTGGTAGGAGTTCTCATGAAAATTCCTTAGCATTTTAGTTCTAATTTATAGAATTGTAGAGCTGGAAGGGACCAAGAGGGTCATCAACGCAGGAATCTTTTGCCCAATGTGGGGCTTGAAGCCATGACCTTGAGATTAAGAGTCTCCTGCTCTAACCAACTGAGATATCCCAAATACACACTTTTGTGCACAAATTTTTGCAACACAAGTTTCTCAACTATTAGCACATTTCTGCAATGTGTTTTCACCAATATGTGCATTCGCAGGCACACTTTAGCCTAGTAAAGTGCATTTTTGTATATGGCTGGAAAATGTCATCGCAAAATTCAGAGAAATGCAAATTTCAAAGGGTGGCTGAGTTTCGGTTGATGCACTGCTTTGGAAAGGGCAAATTCAGTTTGTTCAGTCAGTTATATGGGCACTGGGGCCATATAACACCAGTCCTAAAGGCTCTTTATTGGCTTCCAGTGTGTTTCTGAGCACAATTCAAGGTGTTGGTGCTGACCTTTAAAGCCCTAAACGGCCTCTGCCCAGCATACCTGAAGGAGTATCTCCACCCCTATCCTCCTCCTCCACCCCTTCCTCTGAGGGCCTTCTGGCGGTTCCCTCACTGCGAGAAGCAGAGTTACAGGGAACCAGGCAGGGGCCTTCTCAGTAGTGGCACCCTCCCTGTGGAATGCCCTCCCTTCAGATGTCAAGGAGATAAAGAACTGCATAACTTCTAGAAGACATCCGAAGGCAGCCTTGTATCGGAAAGTTTTTAATGTTTGATGTTTTATTATGTTTCGATATATGTTGTAAGCGGCCCAGAGTGGCTGGGGAAACCCAGCCAGATGGGTGGGGTATGAATAATGAAATAATAATAATAATAATAATAATTTGTGAACTAAACCAAGTTTCTCCCCCAACCCTAGCCCCCACCCCCCACATGCTCCTGGGTTGCCCTTCCTCACACTACCTTCATAGAGCGATCCCCAGCCAATGATATAGCATGGCATCCCTGTGCCCAGTTCCATGGGTCGCTCAGGAAGGCACACTGGAGTCACCCAGGCCGACGGGGTCACGGGGCTGCTCAGTTCCAACAGAGCCACATCGTTGTGGAAGGTCTTGGGGTTGAACTGCGGGCAGAGAAAGGAGAAGTTGGGAGTGGAGAAAAGCAGAAAGGCCCTAAGAATGGGATCACTGTGGGTAGAACAGGAAGAAGAAGAGGAGTTTGGATTTGATATCCCGCTTTATCACTACCCGAAGGAGTCTCAAAGCGGCTAACATTCTCCTTTCCCTTCTTCCCCCACAACAAACACTCTGTGAGGTAAGTGGGGCTGAGAGACTTCAGAGAAGTGTGACTGGCCCAAGGTCACCCAGCAGCTGCATGTGGAGGAGCAGGGAAGCGAACCCGGTTCACCAGATTACGAGTCCACCGCTCTTAACCACTACACTACACTGGCGACCCCAGCTCACCTTGGGATGGGAAAGGATGCGGCTGACCGGAACAACCCGCTCCCCTTCATCCGGCTTTGTCAGGTCGTAATCGCCCAGGACCACTGACCAGGCCAGTTCGTTTCTGCTTCTGCAGGTAGAAAGGCAGAAGGGTACGTAAGAACACAGGCCAGTAGCCCACCCAGTACAGCATCCTGTTCTCACAGATGCCTATGGGAAGCCCACAAGCAGGATTCAAGCGCATGAGCCCTCTCCCCCACCTGCACCAGAAACTCACGTTCAGAACCATTACTGTCTCCGACTGTGGAGGGAGAATGTAGCCATCAGGTTTGGCAGTCACTGACAGCCTTATCCTCAATGAATTTGTCCGATTCTCTTTTAAAGCCACCCAATCCATGTGATTTACTCAAGTGCTCATAGGAAGCAAACAAAGCGTCGCATCTACAATTATTTGCACCGGCTAACAGATGCCAATCAGCTGCTGGATTTGGCGGCTGGCTTAAACAGTTTGGGCAGGGTTATATCAATTATGGAGCTGGGAAGGACTTTGGACCACATTCTCCTACTCAAATTTCCTTGTGTGATCTGGTCCTTGGAGGAGTATCTTCCCCAAGTCTCCCCACCTTCTGGTTGGCAGGTTGCCAGGAGTAGCAGAGCCTTTTTGGTCACAGCACCAAGATAAGCCACCTTGACCTGTCAGCTCGCTTATTCTTTGGCTTCTACAGAGCAGTCAAGGCTCTTGTAGTTTCAAATTATTATCATAAGGGGAAACGGTATAACAACACAGTGCAGAGTGCTTCTGTTCAGGGTGCCAGCCATGCCCTCCCTTCTCCCCTGGTTTTTGGTTGCTGCCCCACCACACAAAAGCAAACAGCGAGCCTTCCATGCCCACTAAGTGTGCTCAACGGATGTCGGCCAGATCCAATTTTCACTTTAACTGGAGCCAACTGGTTTTCCCGACGCCAGGGGGCAGCAAAGACTGGAGGAAGCTGCTCAATACGAACATTAAAAGAACCCTGCTGGATGAGGTCAATGTCTAGCCCAGCATCCTGTTCTCATGGCGGCCAACCAGATGACTATTGGAGGCTTGAAGCAGGTTCTCAGTAGGACTGCCCTCTCCCCCCATGTGATACATAGCAACTGCTATTCAGAGGCCAGACAATGCTGGACTACAGCTACCAGTGGAACGATTGGCAAGGAATGATTGGAATCCAACAGCATCTGAAGGGCCACAGGCTCACCATCCTTGGTTTAAGTCAGGGGTGGGTAACCCTTTCCAGACAGAGGGCCACATTCCCTTCTGGACAACCTTACAGGGGCCATGGTGGGCGGGGACAGAGACCAATGTGGGTGGAGCAACTCTTGCAAATTTTCCCTTTTGATCCTTAACCTCCACTGCCATGTGGTATATCTTTGGGAGAAGAAAAGGCTGAGGAGTAAACCCTACACAAATCCGGAGTAGAGACCCTAAGACAGTTGGGTGGGCACCTTGTATGCTTCCTTCCAGCAACTCCTGCAGCGAAACTGGTGCCAAAGGTATTGCTCTGCTTTCCTTTGGATCTTATCAGCAAGGCGGGGGGGGGGGGGTCTTGTCGTCTGGGCAGCCCAAGACCTTCCTACACACTGCCCAGGCTTGCACGCACTTTGGTGCTGCTAATGCAGCAGTTTTGACTCCACCCCTGGAGGCACACGCCATTGTTTCTTGAGACAGGCTAGTTTCTACACATGCTCACACACTCCTCTCTAATCTCCATTCAAGCAATCAAGAGGCATTACCTGCCAGGCCAATGCACTCAATGATAGCATGAAGTCTGGCTGGTGAGGGTATAGCCTTGGGAGAGCCCTGAGGGTCAGAAATAGAGGCCTGGTGGGGCACATTTGGCCCCAGGACCTGAGATTCCTCACACTGGTTCCAGTGCCACAGCAGTCTTTTTAAAAAAACTGCACACTGTTTCATGAATTTCACTGAGTAGCAGTACATTTTTGAAATGAAGACATGCATGTGTGAATGCAAGACCTGGAGTCTTTTCCCAGAGCGCAGTCTTACCCTGTGAAGCAGTGGGCTGCCGTGAGGACCCAAGCATCCCCCACTAGCACCCCACCGCACATCAGCTCTCCGTTGAGCCGAACAGACACCAGCCAAGGCCACGCGCCAGGCCAGGCTTTGCTGCCTCCCACAATCTTTGCCTTTGCCATCGTTGCGTTGGGAGCTGGCACCCCGCGGTGCCCGCACAGCCCTGGCAATTGAAACAAAAAGGAGAAGTTAGGGGACATTGTGGGGCAGCTGTCAGGACTCATGATCATAGTCCAATAGCTGGGCCTGGAAGATTCACGACCAAGTCTCAGTTCTGCCATGTTGAACTCATTGGGGGCAAACTGCCGTCTCTCCACAGCCCCAACTCTGAAATGGGAATAGGAAGCCAGGTTCTAAGATTTCACAGAAGCACTGAAAAAGTACAGAATGGGTAACTGGGCACCAATTCCGGCTACCTAGTAATTTCTACTTTCAAATTATTATTTTTTTTAAAAAAAGAAAGCTAAGAGATATTATGGTACCTGGAACTGTGCGTCTGATGAAAATCTCAGAAGCCATTGCACTGCAGATAAGATTTTCTGCATAGTGCCCTACATGGCTCTCCCTGCATACTCATGATCTAGAAAATGCTGAATAAACTGGGGAACACAACATCAATTGCATGCTACAAAATTGTGCAACTCCATTTGCATTGTGCAATGCAGACCAATTGCAGTTTTCTGCTTTGCTTTCCCCTAGCATAATGTATTTCTGTATGCTACATACAGAAACATATGCATTTTTATGCACACTTTACCCTGGCATGTCCATTTTTGCACACATTGCCTGCCTGTAGATATTGGACTGCCAAATCTGAAGAAGGGTGAATTTTGAAGGACTGCGTATCAGTCCATGTACTGTTTAGGAAAGTGTGGATTTGGCACGTTCACCTTTGAATGCGAAGTGGATGAAATCCCCCTGCCAAATCAACAACCCTAAAAGTATGACTTGGTTGGATCCCACCCCTGACTTCCAGGACCCAGACAGTGGAAACCTCTCCTTTTCCCCAAAACCTATGGGCAGCAAACGCACAGAGCACAGCAGTGGCTGCTTTGGGAGGGGGAAGCAGTGGTCTGTGTGCTCATGTAGCTGTCAAGCTTCATCCCAATTAACAAGGCGAGTGTTTTGTCCCGGAGAGCAGTGCTCGGCCCAGTGGCCCTGTCAGCGCCCAACGCTGACCTTTCCCCTTGCAGGAAGCACTGGAAAACAGATGCTGGTGCATGGGGCCCCCGGAGCCCTGTGGCGCTGAGGCTGTCAAAGGGAATTGAGAAACAGTGATGCACGTGAAGGAGCATCCGCCTGGGAGAGGATTAGCTGGGCCAGAGCCTCCAGGGGTGACTTTCGAGCCCTGCTCCACCCCACTTCTGGGAAGGTGGCGTTTTCTGTGACTGCACCAGTGGTGGCATCCTCACCTGGATCGGACTGGTCTGCCACTGTGTTCAAATAGTCCATGTCGCTTTCCAGCCCTGCAAGGGGGGACGAGGGAGAGGGGATTAGATGGGCCATCGTAACAATATATTATATTATGTTGGGTGGCTTCCAACATAATATAAAAATACAGCGAAACATCAAACATTAAAAACTTCCTGACACAGGGCTGCCTTCAGTTGTCTATATAGGTAAAGGTAAGGGGACCCCTGACCATTAGGTCCAGTCGTGGCCGACCCTGGGGTTGCGGCGCTCATCTCGCTTTATTGACCGAGGGAGCCGGCGTACAGCTTCCGGGTCATGTGGCCAGCATGACTAAGCCGCTTCTGGCAAACCAGAGCAGCACATGGAAACGCCGTTTACCTTCCCGCCAGAGTGGTACCTATTTATCTACTTGTACTCTGATGTGCTTTCAAACTGCTAGGTTGGCAGGAGCAGGGACCAAGCAACGGGAGCTCCCCCTGTTGCGGGGATTCGAACCACTGACCTTCTGATCAGCAAGTCCTAGGCTCTGTGATTTAACCCACAGTGCCACCCGCGTCCCTAGTTGTCTATATAAAAACATAAGAAAAGGTTGCTGGAACAGGCCAATGGCCCATCAAAGTCCAGCATCCTGTTCTCGCAGTGGCCAACTGGATGCCTGTTATGGGATACCCAGAAGCAGGATTCAAGCACGAGAGCACCTTCCCCTTCTGTGGTTTCCAGCAACTGGTGCTCAGAAGCATTGCTTCCTCCGACTGCAGAGGGACAGCATAGTCATTATGGCAGTAGGCATCCATAACGCTCTCCTCCATGAATTGGCCTAATCCTCTTTTAATGTCCTCTGGTTTGGTGGCCATCGATCCATAGCTAGGATCTTGGCTCAGGGATGGCTGGGCAGGGAGGGGGCAAAGGACACATCACTGCAAAAGAAGACACAGAATGGCATACGAATCACATCCGCCAGTTACACGTACGGATGACAGTTTCAAAACAATTCCTGCAACTTGGACAGAAATGCACCTGATCTTGTTGCAGTGGGACCAAGCGACCCACATGTGGCTGCTTAGTCTGCTGCCGAGGTGTTTACTGTGGATGTCAAGGCCCCTATACTGTAGGTCTCCTTTAAACCAAACTCAGGCCTTCAAACAGAGGCCTGTTCTCCAGCAGCCCTTCAAGTAGGGGGCTGGTTCTCTTGGAAGCCGGAGACTCAAATGACGATTAGGAAACCCAACTGGGAAACCAAGGGCTTCTCTTCCACCAGGGCTCTAAAGAGCGCAATAGGGTGTGCGGAGCACAACGCCAGCCTTCCCCCAACCTGGTGCCCCCGAATGCGTGGGACTACAATTCCCATTGGTCCCAGCCGGCATGGATGGGAGTTGTGGTCCAAAACCTCTGGAGGGCATCCATTGCTGGCTGGGGCTGGTTGGGGTTGTGGTCCAAAGCACTGGGTGGGCAGGAGAGTAGGAGAGGTTGAATTGGGTGGTGGCCCCTGACTTATTATTGCCCATCCACCATCACCAGCCACAGTGAGGCCTCCATCACACAGCGCTAGGTGCAGAGCAAGGCCAGAGAATCACAAGGAGCACCCCCCTCCCCGCCTTGGCCTCCCCCCGGCATGTCACTCACGGCATTCCTGCAGGCGGAGCTGGCAATGGCTGACCATGAGGCGTATGCAGCTGTCGGGGGACATTTCCTGGCCTGAGCAGAGGCGTCGGTATGGAGCACACGCTTTGCTGAGGGCCCAGTTCTGGGCAGGCTGCTCTGGGATGGCCTGGGCTTGCAGGACGGCTTCACAGCTGGGCAGGGAGCCCAGGGGCAACTCCGAGGCTGCGGAGAGAGGAAGACCTAGAAGCCCACTCCCAGGTCACCCCAAGGTCCTTTGGATGCTCTGAGAAAAACCAAAATCTCCTCTCCCTCCCCTCCCCAACACACGCGTCTTATTGGATGTCGAACAGCATCAACCAATGATCAAAAGGTGGCTTGGGGGCTTGCTTTTTCATTTGACATATCTGCCCCTTCTCTATGTATTTATTTGTTTGTTTGTTCATTTATTTCATTCATGTGCCACATTTTTCTTCCAAGGGTATCAAAGTGGCATGTAAATGGTCCTCCTCCTCCTCCCCATTTCACCCTCACAACAACCCTGTGAGGTAGTTTAGACTGGGAGATGGTGACTGACTCCAAGATCAGTGAGCTTCGTGGCTGTGTGGGAATTTGAACCCGGGTCTCCTAGGTCATATTCCAATGCTCTAACCACCATGCAACACTTGCTTTTCAGGAGCAGGGAACCTTTTTCCACATGAGGGCCGCATTCCCGCTCTGGGCAGCCTAAGGAGAGGACATGGCTTAGGGAGCATTCCGAGGGCCAGATACAGAGTCCTGGAGAGTCACATTGGCCCCCGAGGCCTGAGTTTCCCTATCCCTCCATTGCTTCCTCCCCTTTCTGGTGCTCATGCCCCTGCACAGCTGATGGAAACAAAAAGGCTCTCTGGATGAAGGCTCAGGATGCACTGAGAGATCTCAGGCTGATTTTCAGTAGATGGGGCTAAGGCCTGCCTAGCCCAGCTGCCGAGATAGGCAGCTGAAATTAAGGAAGCTGGCCAAGGCAGGCACGGACTTTTGCGCAACAGGGCTGTAAGCTCAGTGCATGCTCAGAGGCACCCTGGTTTTCCTCCTTCTATTCTGCCTATAATTCTTTTGCACCTGGCTCTGTGGTTCATAGATGTTGGGGTTCTAGTAAAAGTCATGTGGGGACCCAGCAATGCCCCCCCCAAGAGGGGAACAGGGGAAACACTTACGGACACATTCCCTGGTCCGATTGCCACAGTTCCCAAAGAGGCAGAGCACACACTCCTCACATTCCTGCAGGCGTCGCGCATGCTCCGACAGCGCCCCTTCCAGGGACAGCAGGGCACTCTTCATGGCGGCTTCCAGCACCAGCGTCCCACGGTTGGACAGAGCTGCAAAGGGGCAAGACATAAGAGAGGCTAATGTTAAGCAGGGGAAAGGGGGTGCTTTTTGGCGAGGGGGAGGGATCAGCAGTGGAAGCGGGTGCTTACTCCTTCCCCTGCCAGCCGCTTCTCCCCTGCAAATGCCCACCACAGCCATTTCAGGGACTGGGAGGCAGCCCGCTGCAAAGAAAAAACGTCTTATGGGGTGCATTTATAGAAGAGAAGGAGTAAGTGTGGGAAAGATGAAGCTCCCCTACTCCAGCCTGCTCACCACCCACTGCAAATGTACCCTCTCGCTCACAGGAACCGGCAGGCTCTTGTTTAGGGAACGCAACCTTTTTTGGGGCAGGGTTGCCAACTTCTCTGCCAGCATTTGCAGCTGTGTCTTTACAAGCAGCTTGATGAGCGGGGATGAGTGGTGGGGATGAGTAGGGGGCACCTGGCGGGGCGTGGAGGAGACCCACACTTTTACCACCTGCAAACATCAAGCTGCAGCTTAAAGGCACGGCCACAAAGTCGGTGGGGAAATCGGCAGCCCTACTTTGCGGAACTGGTAAGATTGGAATTCAAAAAAGTACTCAGAGTCTTTCCAGATCGTGGAGGGTCCAAACGGAAAGAAGAACCTGCAGGTGTTATGAACCGGCACAAGTGAAGAGAAAGAGGTTGGGGCCTGCTGTCTCTGCCTCCACAATTTCTGCACAACTTCTGAAAAAGCTGGTGTAAATACAATAGTCCACATAGTAGTCTCTATCTGTGCAATTGAGGTCTCTGTTTTACTAACCTGTGCACATGCAAGCTATTTCAGAAGTTGGAAAGCAGGGGAGCAAAACAGGCACAATCCCACTCTACGCAGGCTCATGTGTGCAGTCCTTTTGTCACCATTAAAAACACTCTGGCTGTTATCATTGAGGACAGAAGAACCTTGCTGGAACAGGCCAATGGCCCACCTAGGCCAGCATCCTGTTCTCAAAGTGGCCAGCCAGATGCCTGTGGAAATCCCTCAAGCAGGATTAGAGCGCAAGAGCAACTCTCCCCTCCTGAGGTTTCCAGCCACTGGGATTCAGAAGCATTGCTGCCTCCAATTGTGGAGGCAGATCACAGCCGTCATCATGGCTCTATGAATTTGTCTAATCCTCTTCTGAAGCCATATATGTTGGTGGCCATCACTGCCTCTTGTAGGAGTTCCATAGTTTAACTATGTGCTAAACTGTAAATATTTTAATTATTTAATGGGATTTATATACCGCTTAATCATTCCTAAGTGGTTTATATAAAATATTAAATGTTTTGTTAAAAAAAAAATTCTGGGTGTTCAAAATAAGTTATTTAGAATGTATCAGAACGTAAGCAAAATCAGCAGTTATTAGAAATATATGTATGCATAATCAAATGAAATTACGTGTCTGGGTAGGCTTCCCTAAACACCAAAAGTCTTTAGCAGGCACTAAAAACACTACCATGAAGGTGCCTGCCTAATATCAATGGGCAGGGAGTTCCACTGTGAAGGACCAATTCCTTGCAAGTGCAAAACAAACATTGATGTGGCACTGGCAAAAGTATATATGGATGTTGCGTAGGAGTAAGAATTGTCAACGGTTTAAAAAAACAGAGCAAACTGGCCCTGGCAATACCTTGGAGCGAAAACGACAGGCGTTGGGAAAGTGGCGGTTAGGGCAGTCAGTTGTTGGACAGGCATACCAATGGCTCCAGCCAACTTCCCCGTTTGGCTTGGCTGCATTCAATTTTTCTTATCCCCCCCCCCGCCCCCAAGTTGGCTTGATCTCTGTTACAAAGGCGAAGGATTTCCCAGAAGTGTTTGGCTGAGGGCATCTGGTATCAAATAATCCCAGCGCCCTCTGCCAAATTGTGTCTGCATTCACTTTGCAGTGACGATCGTAAAACCGAGAGCAGGGTGCATGCCAGCATACATACATGGAACAGGTGAAGATGGAGAAGGTCAACCTAGAACTAAAGGCACCAGGTGGCTGGGCCATAGTTCGGGGGGGGGGGGTTGAGCACCTGCTCTCCATGCAGAAGGTCCCAGGTTCAATCCCTAGCAGCTGGGGGGAAACGTCCAGTATGAAACCAGGGAGAGCCGCTCCAGTCAGTGCAGGAAATACTGAGCTAAATGGGCCATTGGTCTGACTCACGAGAAGGCAGCTTCCCATGCTCTAGAAGTGTGTAGGCACATGGATCTACCATGCATAGAAGAGGACTGAAAACATGGAGAGAGAAAGACGGAGACATAGGAAGCTGCCATATAAAGTCAGGACATTAGTCCAGCTCTGTACTGACTGGCAACAGCTGTTTCAGGCAGACGCCTCTCTCCCAGCCCAACTGGAGATGCCAAGGACTGAGCAATGCCCTGCTGCTGATCTTTCTCCAACGGGAGAGAGGCCATGAATGCAGACAGGATAGGAGCACATGAAGCTGCCTCATTCGGAGTCAAACCAATGCTTCACCTAGCACAACGTTGTCCCCACTGACTGGCTGCAACTCTCCAGGATTTCGGGCAAGGGCTTTCCCCAGAATCGTACAGCTGGAAGGGACCCCGAGGGTCATCTAGTCCAACGCCCTGCAATGCAGGAATCTCAGCCAAAGCATCCCTAACAGTTGGCCATCCAACCTCTGCTTAAAAACACCCAAGGAAGGAGAATCCACCACTTTCCGAGAGAGTCTGTCCCAATGTAAACAGCTCTTACTGTCAGAAAGTCCCTCCCCCCTGATGTTTAGTCGAAATCTCCTTTCTTGTAACTTGAAGCCATGGGTTCGAGTCCTACCTTGTGGAGCAGGAGAAAACAAGCTTGCTCCCTCCTCCATGAGAAACCCCTTAAGATGTTTGAATATTGCTTAAGATGTTGAATATTGCTCAGTCTCCTATTTCCCAGGTTACCTGACGATGCTGGGACTAAACTCGGGACCTTCTGCATGCAAACAAGGCTACAGTATGCTAGAAGTGTCCGTTCTCCTTCCGCTCCCCGTTTTTACGATATACGATACGATATACGATATACTTTATTGTCATTGTCCCATGTAATTGAAAAACTACTACAAAACTACATAAAACTTTCAAAAAAACCCTAAAAACTTTGAAACCTCATTTTAAAATACGCTATACTATAGAGACCCCTTATGCTGCGTTTAGAACCAGAATTGCATTTGCGTAGAAACTGTTTCTCAGGCGGCTAGTCCTGGCCTTTATAACCCTATACCTTCTTCCAGAAGGCAGAAGCTGAAAGAGATCATTTACTAGCCTGGTATCAAGCCAGAAAGCTAGTGACTTAAAGACCTGATGTCGGGGCAGGGAGTCCCAGGTTCAAATCCCCCCTCAGTCAGCCATGGACTCCCCAAGGCAGCCTTGGGCAAGCCATTATGCATTCAAGCCCAGCCTTCCTCTCCCCATTTGCTAACACGGGGGTGGGTGGGTGGGAGAGAAATACTGCTAGTCTGCTTTACAAGGTTGTCATTCAGATTATGGAAACAGCCAACGTGAAGCACTCTATAGCAGTCTATGAAATATGGCCGCAGCTCAATGGTAGATCCACCTGTTTGGCATGCAGAAGGTCCCGGGTTAAAAGAACCTGGAAGAGGAAGTTACCGGCCTTATTGCATCTCTGTATCGAGAATGAACAGCACCTGTTGATTTTTTACCTGCAGTAAAAGGTAAAGGTAAAGGGACCCCCGACCGTTAGGTCCAGTCGTGACCGACTCTGGGGTTGCGGTGCTCATCTTGCTTTATTGGCCGAGGGAGCCGGTGTACAGCTTCCGGGTCATGTGGCTGGCATGACTAAGAACCAGAGCAGCGCAAGGAAACACCGTTTACCTTCCCCCCGGAGCGGTACCTATTTATCTACTTGCACTTTGACGTGCTTTCGAACTGCTAGGTTGGCAGGAGCAGGGACCGAGCAACGGGAGCTCACCCCGTCGCGGGGATTCGAACCGCCGACCTTCTGATCGGCAAGTCCTAGGCTCTGTGGTTTAACCCACAGCGCCACCCGCGTCCCTTTAACTTGCAGTACCTCTGTTAAAAAACCCCCAGAGAAGTCATAGGGGATGTGGGGTAACAACAGTGTCCAGTTCAACGGCTAAGCAGCTGCTCTGCATGCAGAAGGCCCCAGGTTCAAATCTCTGAAATAACCAGTTAAAAGAGCCTGGAGTTGGAAAACGCGTCTACAGGAACAAGGGAAACAATCTGCCCTGCACTGAATCACATCACTGGCCCTCCTGGTTCAGTGTTGCTTCCACTGCCCGGCAGCAGCTCTCCGGGGTTTTTAGATGGGGGTGAGGACACCCCAAAACCTATTTGGGAGACTACAGCAGCCAAAGCTGCTACCCTTGAGCTGCAGCCCTTCCCTTCAGTAAACGTGCTCCTGAAACCTCTGCCGCGCTAACCACTGCACTACACTGCCTGCCCAAGCAGGACGTGTAATAAAAACCAGTTGCTCATTGAGCCATTAAAATAAAGATACATATTGACATGGCTATGTCGATATTTAGAAATTAAAAAAATGATGACTAAATCCAGGTCGTCCCTCTCCCAGGCGGACGCTGCTCTTACCTCGCAAGGCGCCGGGGGGCATCGGGCAGAGCTCCTTGCCCAGGGGGGCGGCCAGGGCCCGATCCACCAGCAGCAGCAGCACCAGGGGACCCATCGCCTCCGGGCGTGGCGTGGGGTGCGAAGGAGGGAAGAGGAGAAGGAGCCTCCCTTTCCCCTCGGGGCGAGCGGAGCGGCTGCCGCCGAGGCCGCCCTTGCGCGCCTATATGCGGTGCCCTCGGGGGTGGGGGGACCCGCACAGACGACGCTCATGTTTTTTTTTGGGGGGGGGGAAAGCACACCGAAAGAATAAATGATAATAAATAAATAAACGCGAGAGAATTCATTCATTAGGGCCGGCAGCGGTGCCAGGCGAGGGTCCTGCCATTGGGGCGGTGAGAAGGGGAGGCGCGCGAGGGCCAGCGCGGCGGCTTCATTAGGGGAGCCCGGCCGGGCCCTGGTTCAGCCCCGCTGCGCGCCGCCGAGGAGGAGGAGGCGGCCGCGCTGAATAGGCCCTTTGTGAGCCCGGGCGGGGGCCGGCGGCCATCAAAAGGCTCCCCGCTTAATGATCAGAGGCGGCCCGCCTCGCTTGATCATGGCTCGCGCTTTTGTCCTCGGCCGCCGAGCGCCGTGGCCTCGGCTGAGGGGAGAGGAGAGGCCGGGCCTCCCCTCGCTCGCTCGCTCCCCTCGGCAAAGGCGAGGCCTGGGAGGGGAGATAAACGAAGCAAGGCCTTGTTCCCTCACACGAACACACACACACACGTGTCAAGTGCCTGGCGTGAACCTGCACACAGATACACGCGCAGGCCTCCCTAACAGGCCGTGGCGCTTTCCGCGCGCTTTCGCCGCCGCCTTTACGCGACGACGGGCGGCCGCCTCAAAGGCAAGGCCCCGGGCTGAGGCGCGAAGGCCGCTGGTGTGGTTCTGTGTTAGGGCACGTGCCTCTTGTTTATTTATTGCGCTTATGTGCCGCCTTTTGCTTCCGAGGAGCTCCAGGAGAGTCTTTTCACCCGTTTCACCCTCCTCACACCACAACCCTGTGAGGTCGAAACAAAAAAAATTCCTTCCAGTAGCACCTTAAAGACCAACTAAGTTAGTTCTTGGTATGAGCTTTCATGTGCATGCACACTTCTTCTGTGTATCTGAAAAAGTGTGCATGCACACGAAAGCTCATACCAAGAACTAACTTAGTTGGTCTTTAAGGTGCTACTAGAAGGAATTTTTTTTGTTTTGACTATGGCAGACCAACACGGCTACCTATCTGTACCTGTGAGGTCGGTTCGGCTAAGAGGCCGTGACTGGGCCAATGGCAATACTGTAGTATACACACAAGTATCAAATGTGGTGACAGTAATAATAATGCAACAAAACAACAACACCACAAACTGGCTTATAAGTATAAAACCAAATTTACTAGAATAATCGCTAGAATAGAGATAGACTTGTAACCATTCAAACAACAAACATACTAAGGTGCCATGTGCAAAACAAAGCCTGGAGATACTGTAAACATGGAGTGGATAAATGTACAACTGTATCTTAACAAGTTACATGTGCAATCAACGTTATACAGACTGGATAAATGAACCAACAAGTAGTGTAAGTCCAATCGCGGAACGGCAACCCCGTGCCGCCACAATGGCAAGGGTAGCACACTGGAGAATATGAAAAAGCTTTTCAAAGCTGTTTTTCAAAGATTGAACTAGATGAGATGTTATTCAATGGGTCTTGAGTTGGAAACACAAAGCCGTATGCATGGACCGGTTCTCCAGATATATTACAGGTTTCTCTACACGCTTCATCAGTCCGGAAAGCCAGTCATACAAAACGGTTTGCTCAGGATAAAGGAAAGTATTCACAGGCACAGCCAAAGGCAGGACTTGGGTCCTCTTGCTCGACATGGCGCCCTGAGAGAGAGAGAGAGGGCCGACCTTGGGCGATCCTGAATGGATATCCTCACTTACGGATCTTCTCCAAAAAAGAAGAATTCGGAAACTGTAATTTCCCCCTCGCAGGGTTATCGTTTATAGAACCCTCAACAAACTACAGTTCCTGGGATGCTTCGGGAGAAACCATGCGCTTCAAATGCACATTGGGTATTCTCTAAGTTTGTAGCGTGGATTTGCTCTCGGAATAAAGCAACATGGCTTGATCTGGAGGGCCGTTTCAAAGATTTTGGTACACACACGCTGAGCTCAAAAGGAGGCATTAAGTCCCACTTTTCACGGGGTTGCTGCTGTCATTACGTGTCTGGGCAGCAAGCAGGCCCACGTTGAGGTGAGAGGGAGTGTAAACGGTGCTTGGACCGAACTTGCTTGCAGCTTTGTATCTTGGTGTATTGTTCAGATCCATACTATACATTCAAAGCATATTTAATGCACACTTGCACAGATTTCACCCCCCCAAAAGAATCCTGGGAATTGTAGTTTTCCCCTCACAGGGGGTACCATTTCTAGCGCCCTTAACATCAACTACAGTTCCCCAGAGTCTCTGGGAGAAGTTATGCGCTTTCAACACACATTGAACATAATTTTAAGTGTACAGTGTGGATCTTCCCTTAGAAAAAAGCCACATGGCTTGACCTGGAGTGCCGTTTCATATATTTATATACATGCACATGGTGCTCAGAATGAAGCATTATGTATTCCCATTCCCATTTCTTTTCAGGATCTAAATCAACCTGCTTGCCCTCCAGGTGTTTCAGACTACAACTCCCGTCCATTCCGTCTGGGGCAGATGGGAATTGCAGTCAGAAACATCTGGAGGATACCAGGTTGGCAAAGGCTGAGCTAAAGCAAGCGCTTCTTTTGGTTTGAGGATCCTGGTCTAATTTGAAGTGAAATTGCCCTGCTTTTGAATCCTCCTCGTAAACATCTCTGAGCATCTTTCAGGGATTTTTGTTGCTTTAAAGCATGCAGTTGGACACAAAATGTGCATTGGAAAACAATTTTGTTCGGTTGGAAAGATGATAATGCACAGTTGGAAGAATGGGAGGCAGGGAGAAACTAGTCACGTTAGACTTTTGTGTTTATTAAGCGCTTAAATCTCAGGCGGCGTCAGGGACGGTATACATGTAAATTTTATTAGGATAGAATGTGCTCCGTTTCCATATGTAAACTGCCAAACCCTTTTTAAAGCACCTTCTTTTGGGTCAGAACCTCCTCTATCTCCCCTTGCCTGAAATCCTGGAGAACCTCAGCCAGTCCGTGTAGACAGTCCTGAGCTTGGTGGACCAAAGATCTGCCTCTGTATTCTATGTTCTGTAATAGATAAGAACTGCTCACTTGAAACCACCACTGATACAGGGTGTGAACAAAGCAAAGCACATATTGTGTCCCTTGGACCTTTTTTAGCGTGGGGTGTCCAATAAGAAATTTGTGCAGCTGAAAGGCTAAGTGAACATTATGGACATGTATGTGTGTTGCACAGCTGTTGCTAACAATCGGCATCTTCCCCACATTTCTCTTGCAGCATCTAGTAAAAGAAACGAGCATTGGGATGCCGTAGGCTTCAGCATTTCCTTATCCTTCCTCTGTTGTGCTGACCAGTGTATGCAGGACAAGGGGAAATACCAGTTGTGGTGAGGTCGCAAGATTGCTCATTTCTTTTATTAGGCATTAGCAAGATGACACATGAGGCCAAGACGTCAAAAAGCAATGGTCGTGAGTTCCAGGTAAGTCACCTTTGTATCTCCACTGAACTCAGTGAGATTAACAGGTTGGTTCTAAGTGACGCCATCATCTCCAGTAATTCCAGCTAAGGTTCCAGCACAAAGCAAAGTGGCTGCTGCGTTGTGGGATATCTTCAGGAGAAGAAAGGCTGAGGAGTAAACCCTATACAAATCGGAGTAGAGTCCCTAAGACAGTGAAATGGTGCCTTGCATGCCTCCTTCTGGCAACTTCTGCAGCCAAGCTAGTGCCAAATGCCTTGCTCTGCTTTCCATTGGACCACATCAGTGAAGCCAAGAGGGGTTTTTTGTTATCTGGGCAGCCCAGGACATTCATACACACTGCCCAGGGTTGTGCCCCGGAGAGGTCACCTTAGTGCTGCTAACACAACAAAAACAACATGGGGAGGCAGCAGTTATGAGTTACTGGTCACTGCAGCCACAGCAGGCGCTGTGATTCCCCAGAGGTTTGGTTTTACCCCCGGAGGCATACGCCATTGTCTCTCGAGACGGACGGATGCTAGCAAGATATCAGGAAAAAAATAACACATTAGCTCAGTGGTAGGGCATCCCACATGAACCCTTCAGCATCCCTGAGTAGAACTAGGAGTGACTCCCTGCCTGAAACCCTGGAGAGCTGCTGCCAGCCATTGTAGGCAATACATTTGCAGCCCGAACATTGATGAACAGCAAAATCTTCATAATCCATCAAATGCCTGGGAAAGAGGTGGTTTTTTTTTTACAAAAAATCGTTTAGATACATAAAGGTGTAAGAAATGCTGAGGGGGGAAATATTAATATCAACATGTCTGCAGTCAGAAAACCCTTGCAGCGAAAGGTTGCTTCCTGAAACAAACAACTGAGGGTCTCATGGTAGCATCTTAAAGGCAAACAGATTTATTGTGGTATAAACATATGCATCTGACAAAGTGGACTTGAGTCCATGCAAGTTTATGTCATTTAATAAATTCCTTAGTCTTTAAGGTACCACCAGAAGACTCCTGGTTATTTTTGCTGCAAGAAAATAATGTGGCCAAGTTCTTGCCTGTGAGGTACCAACCGAGGTGGTCTTTTCCAAAAGCTCCTGTGCCAGTGGGGAGGGACTTTAGGTCTGGAGACTGAATGCAGCCCTCTGAGCCGCTCCACCTGGCCCTTGGACCTATCCCCCCCACACCCTTTCCCAAGCCATGCCTCTCATTGGCCCTGCTCAGTGAGTCCTTGAACCACGATAATACCTGGGTGATGTAAATGTATAGAAGGGTGGGGAACCTCAGGCCCAGGGGCCTAATCTGGCCTACCAGACATCCTCATTTAGTCCACCAGGCTGTTTGGGGCAAGACACACCCACCTCCTGACAGGTGTTTGGGAAGTGCAGTTCAAAGGGCTTTGACAGGTGGCTGTTAAGCTTGGCCCATGGAGAAGGGACAGATAAGGATCTGGCTTGCTGGACAAAAGGGGTTCTCTGCCCCTCCTGGAATGCAGCTTACTGTACAAACAGTGCTCCACCCATTTTTGGTGCTACACACCCACCCCCCAAAAATTGCTTGTGAAAGAATGCTGCCCTTGAAATGCCAGGGGAAGTGGTGGACCTACATTTTGTTGGCCCTGAAGCTTCAGCTGTTATGGGGGCTCCTTTGCAACCAGCAATGAGGTCCGGCTAGCCATTGTTATCTTCTTCAATGGGGTTATTCCACGACAGATCACATTTAACAACTACTACTACAACATTGCAGGTTTGATTAAAATTGCTGTACTGGATTATCTCACATGTCAAAGTCACTGGTGTGAATAAAAATTTCCTGTGTCTTACAGTTTTTGAGTTA